ATATATATATATATATATATATATATATATATATACACACACACACAAAGGAATATTCTCAGCCATAAAAAGGAATGAAATAGTGCCATTTGCAGGGACATGGACAGACTTAGAGACTGTCATAACAGAGTGAAGTAAGTCAGAAAGAGAAAAACAAATATCATATAATATCGTTTATATGTGGAATCTAGAAAAATGGTACAGATGAACTTATTTGCAAAGGAGAAACAGAGACACAGATGTAGAGAACAAACTTATGGATACCAAGAGGGGAAGGGGTGGGTGGGTGGGATGAACTGGGAGATTGGGCTTGACATATATACGCTACTGTGTATAAAACAGATAACTAATGAGAACCTGCTGTACAGCACAGGGATCTCTACTCAATGCCCTGTGGTGACCTAAATGTGTAGGAATCTAAAAAAGAGTGGATATATGTATACGTATAGCTGATTCACTTTGCTGTACAGCAGAAACTAACACAACATTGTAAAGCAACTATACTCCAATAAAAAAAATAATAAGCGTAAAACAAAACGAAATAAAAAACAAAAAAATAAATACAAAATAAAAGCACGCGTCTAGCAATTGGCTGGACAGCTCTGCCCACACACACTGTCAACCCCCCTCATCGCTGGTCTCAGCTCTACCAATGATACAGTTGAAAGCACATAGAAAAGTATATATAAAAGTAGAGGGTAATATGCAGAAATTATGCCATGGTTAAAACTGCAAACAAATTATACAGTTATAGGAAAATTAATTAGAAGATAATACAGAAAAGTGAAAACTGATTTGCTGGTGATAGCAGAATCATAATTAATCTTTCTTTTAATACTGTAACGATTTTACAAATGTATGAAAAAGAAATTTTAAAAAAGCATTTTATAAGAAACATGCTATTTAAAAACAAATTCCGTACTGGTAACGACGGGTACACAACTAGAGTGTGAGCTTAAAGACCTGGATTCTGTTTCCTGCTCTGCCCTCAAGTACTATGTCCCTTTGCAGGAAATCACTCAAACTTAACAGCCTCAAGATAGTCAAAATCTGAAGGCTACGCTATGATCTCAGATCCCTAGCAATCCTGAAACAGCTATGATACAATGATGTATCCAACGTTAGAAAACTTCTTGTTGGCAACGGACTTTCTGATGACTTCCAAACGGCGTTAAGGATAGAGAAGAGAAAAAAAAAACAAAGTTCTTACCCTCATGAATAAACCAAAAAACAGTTCTGCAGTAATATTCATTAAGGAGGAAAGTCACGCCAGGTGAGGGCAGAGAGCGTTCCCTTACAACACTGGGTGCGCTGTTCTGGACGCCTGTGTAATGAAGCGAGACTGCAGCCGAGCTCTGGGTGGGATAAGGAGGAGGCCCTAATGACAGCTGGGAACAAGAGCCTCAAGCAGAAGGAATCACAAGCACAGAGGCCCTGAAGCAGGAGAAACATGCTAAAAATTAGCAAGGAAGCCAACAGGCTGGAGCCAAGAGAACTTTCAGGAAGAACAATGGTAGATGACCTCAGAATGGGGGCTGCAGCTCAGGCAGGGCCCAGTGGGGCACCGTGAGTCACTGCGCTGGGAAACCTCTGGGGGATTCTGATGAACAAGGGATTAACGTTACTTGCACTACATTCTAAATGGATCAGTCTGGCTGCTGAGTGAAAAACAGACTTTAGGTGTGGGCAGAGAATAAAATCAGGAGTGCAGGCAAAACATCGTGATGGCTTGTACTAGGAGGAGAGGAGCAGCTACACAGGGAATCTTTGGGATTCTAGATATATTTTTAAAAATAAAGGCAACAGGATTAGCTGATGGATTCAGTGTAGGTTATAAAAGAAAGTCAATGACAACTCCATAGTTTCGAGCTTGGGAAAGTAGGTAAATGGAGGTTAAATCTTGAGACCTAGAAACTCCTATCAAGGTATCAAATTCAGCTATTCAGGAATAGCATATAGTGTAAGTAATACTTATGCTAAAAGTGGAAGTGAAGAAGCAAAAGTAGAATGGTTGCTTTTTCTACTCACCATTTGCAGACTGTATCATGTTTCCAGATTTTTGGACTTCATCAAATTTTGTAAAAATTACATTCAACCTGTATGAAAAATATATATATATATATTATACAAACTATTAACCATATTACAATTACATTAACATATTTACAATCATAGTATACACTGAAGGTGAGTCTCACTCGTTGATAACAGACCCATCTAACAACAACAGTAGCTATGCTAACAGCATTATCAATAGCCAACAATGAGTGGGCACCTGCTTATTACAAGCCAAGCACCGACCTAAGCTCTACCTGAAAAATCTCCTTTGATTCTTGCAACAGCTGTATAAGGGGTTATCAGTATCCCCATATGACAGACGAGAAAATCAAAACCCCCTTACTTAAGGTAACACACTTGGGCAGGGTAGAGATGCCAGCCCTGAGAATAAGAACCCAGAGCCCAGGCTCTCAGACATTATACTAAGCTGACTGACGTCTCTACACAAAATGTATGCATCATGAAAACTGTTTATATCTCCTATTTCTGTCTAAGCACAGACTGCTGATTACTCAGGACAAAGATTTTCAAAATGCATTGATATTACAGTACAAAGGCTTTTCTGTGACTTTTGCTTATTTTAAAAATGCTGTAAATAATTTCTCTAGAAGCAAATGTTGTGACTGGATAATCCTCAGCTTAAAAATCTGCATGACATGTATATTCTATTAGTGGATCATTTTCACCATGACATTTTAAAAGAAGCAAAACTCTTTAACCACCAAATATTCCATCCTAGTGACACCAAAAATGAGAGGAAGACTGGGGGTGGGGTGGGGTTTACCTTGTAGGAAAACTCAAGAAAAAAGAGGCTTTCCGAACGAAACACAGATATATTGGAATAAGCCTAAAGGTTGAGATTCCAAAGTCACGCACTTTTGCATTGAAACCTACGCCACCCACTTCCAGGACTAGACTAGAAACGTTAGCACTTTCCTACAAACCAGCCTGTCATACAAGCTCTAATCATTTCAAACATGTTTGATTTCCTTTCCAACCAGGATGGAAGCCCCTTGGGTATAGGAATGGGACCTATATTATCTTTGGTATTCTGTGTACACCACACATCACATCATGCAGGAGGGTGACATCACCGAATGAGAAGGCTGGTGCCTGGTCCCGCCCCCGCGCGCATGGTGGAAAACTAGGTAGTTCACACACTCCGGTCTCAGCTCATGCACTCGTTCATTGGCTGAGCCAGCACTGAGCTAGCTAGATGCTGAGTGTGGGAAGGTCCCACCCTCTAGAGCTCCTACTTACCTCTACTTCATTCTATTCTACTTAGACTGTGACATTCTAGGAAACAAGGAAGCCAAAAATACTCATAAGCAAACACGAGGTAAGTGAAGGGGATGAACCAGCCTGATAACACGGCCCCTCCCGCTTCCCGTCCTATGGCGGATATTGATCTTTTCAACCCATCTTTCCATCTAAGTCCAGATGCAGCCTCAGAATCCTTCCCAAAACTGCTCCAGGCAGCTACGACCAATGAATCAAAGTCGGCACTGAGTTAAAGTTCTATTTGTCATCCCAGGACCAGATGAGTAAAACTACTGCTCACTTGCAACTCCCGTGGTTACTAACAATCTGGAAAGATGCCTTAGAATCAAGTTCTTATGATGTTTCCATCACCTGCCCTTTGATAAGTAACAAAGATCCCCACTGGCTTAACAAGCCCATAAATAATATCCCTACACAGGTTGCCGGCGCCTGCCCTGACCAAGTTACCACTTTATTGCATCATAGCCACACCCTCTGACATGAGCATGTCTGCAAGGCTGCACATCGGGGACAAAGGGCACCTCCAGCTGGTTGTCCCTGAAATCACTGGGAGGGGCGAGTATTTCCTCCGTTCCTGGGAGAGCGTTCACCATTATCGATGGCAACTGTGGAAGCACCTGTAGATTCTCTGTAGCTCGCAGGTAGGGTCTCCTCACAGCGGCCACGGGACCCACAACCAGTAGGCCCAGACGACTAGCTGTGGGAAGGCTAAGATGATTACCGTTGTTGGCACCTGCACCATAATTCAGAATTACTTCAGGCAGCCGTGCCTTCCAGCTCCTGCCTCAACAGCTGCCTAGACAATGGCTCCTGTCCAGGTGACCACCCCCGGATCGCAGGAGCCTGGCTTTATGACAGTCCAAGAGCAACAAAACCTCCCCGGGAATGCCTTGGGTCTCCTAGCCCTGAGCACAGCAATACAAAATGCCTCTCCCAGGACCTACCAACTTGCACAAGTCTGAAAGGGTGAGTTTTACAGGTTCAAAGACGTTGAATACATAACTAATGATTACCCTCTGAAGCCACCAATTTTTTTTGCACTTTCTAAATTTTAAATCTTTGGATCTCAAATATAAAATAAATTTCTTCACTAGTTTGACAAATAACCCAATACCATTTTCCTCTGATTTTTCTGAATTTAAATTTTATTTTCAACTCTTCAATGCAACTAGTGTTTATTTTACTGTAAGATTTAGATCTAATTACGCCTTCCTAGAATATTTTATAAGTTTAAAATAATCTCCTAAAAGCAAATACTAGTAATCTCATGGTAAACAAGCTCCAGTTCTACACTCAGAGTTTATAATTGGCTTTTCAGTCCACTACTCTTAAGTATGAGTACGTATCAAGGATTATAAACTATATGGGCAAAGCTTGTAATATGAAAAAGAGAGACCAAAAGGAACACACACATACCCCACTCCCAAATCCCAATTTAGAGAAAAGACTACGAACAGATTGTTTGTTTGTTTTTTTTTGCAGTACGTGGGCCTCTCACTGTTGTGGCCTCTCCCATTGTGGAGCACAGGCTCCGGATGCGCAGGCTCAGCGGCCATGGCTCACGGGCCTAGCCGCTCTGCGGCATGTGGGATCTTCCCGGACCCGGGCACGAACCCGTGTCCCCTGCATCAGCAGGCAGACTCTCAACCACTGCGCCACCAGGGAAGCTCCAAACAGTTTTTAATATATTATTTATATTTCCAAAGAGATGAGAAAATATTTTAATTATAAAAGCACACAGGGGGCTTCCCTGGTGGCACAGTGGTTGAGAGTCTGCCTGCCAGTGCGGGGGACACGGGTTCGAGCCCTGGTCTGGGAGGATACCACATGCTGCAGAGCGGCTGGGCCCGTGAGCCACAACTGCTGAGCCTGCGCGTCTGGAGCCTGTGCTCCGCAACAAGAGAAGCAGCGATAGTGAGAGGCCCGCGCACCGTGATGAAGAGTGGCCCCCGCTTGCCCCAGCTGGAGAAGGCCCTCACACAGAAACGAAAACCCAACACAACCATAAATAAATAAATAAATTAGAAAATTTTTTTTAAAAAAAAGAATGCAACACAATTCTTTAAAAAAAAAAAAAAAAAGCACACGGGGAGGAGCCCTTCAAAATGGCACCATAAGGACCTCTGAAAATTTGCTCCTCCAAAGAAGCAAAGAAAACATCAGCAAAATCAAGTTTTCCAAAACTGGAAATTAAACAAAGGCTTGCAACAATCCGAGCATTCTTCAAGCAAAAAGGCTGAATCTTGGTAAGAACAGTAAGTTTTCCATTGCTTTGCAAGTGCCCTATTTCCATCTCAACTCAGGCTGAAAACCAACAGCCTCACAACCACTAGAAAAAGTTGAACAAGTCTGGAGCCCCTAAGAATCCGCATTCCCAGAGAACTGTCATTATCTGACCTGCCTGGCATATCCCTGAACCCCCATTCACAGGGCTTGTCTTTATCGCACCTCACTCAGAGCATGCTCAGTGTGAGACCCTTTTCCCTGAGGCCACAATCAAAAAGAATCCACAATGACTATTTAACACGGCAATAACCGCTGGGGCAAAGAAACTGACCAAAAAACTTATAAGGAAAAACTGGAGGATGAGATGTTCTCCGGAAACTTTGAAAAGCTCTGACACATTCCTGGGAATCTAGAAGATCACATATATGGACAAGGCTGTGTGCATGCCTGAGAATGACCCAAGGCACTAACGTCTCACCTCTGGCTGACCGTGAGATTCTGCACAAGCAGGCAGTAAAGAGACATAAAGGCAGTAACTTATAAACTGCCTGCCAGAACACTGAAAGCACGTCCCAACATACAGAGCCTTCAGCAAAGGGACTGAAGGAAACCCCTGTCCAATCATCAGCTGAACGCTAACCTAACCAAGGACAGATGACTATAGTAAACACACACAACCAAAAAATACAGACTTTACAGCATTAGTTCAGATAAGTCACTAAACAAGCAATGAGCAACGAAAACAACACCAACAACAGCAAGCCTGGGGAAAATATAAGAACCAAGGTCTCACCAAATACAGAATATCAATGAAGAGATGGAAAACACAAGAATCATACAGAAATTCTCGAAATGAAATTAAACATTTATAAACAACTAAAATTAAAAATTCAGGGCTTCCCTGGTGGCACAGTGGTTAAGAATCCGCCTGCCAATGCAGGGGACACGGGTTCGAGCGCTGGTCCGGGAAGATCCCACATACTACGGAGCAACTAAGCCCATGCGCCACAACTACTGAGGCTGTGCTCTACAGCCCACGAGCCACAACTACTGAAGCCCGTGTGCCACAACTACTGAAGCCTGTGCGCCTAGAGCCCATGCTCTGCAACAAGAGAACCCACCGCAATGAGAAGCCTGCACACCGCAACAAAGAGAAGTCCCTGCTCGTTGCAACTAGAGAAAGCCCGCACACAGCAACGAAGATCCAACGCAGCCAAAAAATAAATAAATAAATGAAATAATTTTTTTAAAAAAATAAAAATAAAAATTCACTAGAGAGGCTCAACAGTGATTTGGGAGAAAAAGCAGCAGCAAACTTGCAGATGAGTCAATTGACACTATCATGTCTGAGAAACAGAAGAAAAATGAACAGGAAAAATAAATAAATAAATAAACAGAGCCTCAGAGATTATCTTCTTACTATACCAACATACACTTATTGGAATCCCAGAAGGAGAGGGGAAAGGAAAAAGGACAGAAAAAGTATGTGAAGAAATAATGACCGAAAACGTTCTAAATTCATGAAGCTCAA